ATAGATAGATAGATAGATAGATAGATAGATAGATAGATAGATATCAAGAACAATACTAAAAACTATACATTAGTGAGATTTGTAATTAGTATTTAACAGTTATCAAATTAGCTATGACAATGAGATATTTGACAGGAAATTCAGACCAATTTTTATAATTGTACTTTATAACAAGTCTATTTTTCATGTCTAAAAATGAGAATGATATTTGTAATTTAAAATGTTATTAGATAGTTTTGTATGGAAATGAATTTCAGATTAGCAGTGATAATGTGTCAGCTCGTGATCGTCTCAACAACGCGTTTTCAACTGCTGAAAACGAATTTGGTGTTTCTCGACTTCTGGACGCCGAAGATGTAGATGTGGATGTACCAGATGAAAAAAGCATCATCACTTATGTTTCCTCATTGTACAACGCCTTACCACATGGCAGTGAAATGAGCAAAGTTAGTTGTTTTTTTTTCTCTTCTGCTATTATGAGAACTGTAAAAACTGTATATAATTTTAAGAATTATCAGGTTTGCTTTGATATACTTGATATGACTGTGGTAGGAAAAAAAAGTGATATACAGCAATAGAAAGGAGATGAAATCAATTAGTATATTAGGTAATTGCTTAAAGCTTAAAGGAATGTTGTGAGAAAGTGAGACGTATGTGCTCAATGTGAGGTAGCTTGAATTAGTTAGTGATTTATGTTAACAGGTGAATGATAGAAATTTTTCATCAATTACGGCGCAGAATTATTACAAATATCATTAATATTTATTATTAATCATAAAATGTTTTTGAAATATATTTGTGGTATTAAATTTTATTTCGGTTGAAGAAAATCTTTTTATATAAAAAAAATTTGGAGGGAATGATCAATCCGCTTTGTTATTTTTATGAAAGAAAGAAGTATCCCCTTGATTTATTTGTTTCAACTCATTAGAATAATATTCTTTTTCAAAAAAAAATAAGGGTTCCATTATGGGCTCTGAAGGTTTTTTGCATTTTCTAAAGGCTTTTATGTATGAAAAATCTAAGAACTTTCATTTGAAAAACTGTTTTAGTCCCATTATAATTTTACCGAAATTATTATTTTAAGATATTTTATATTTAAATCTTTTATATTAGTTGCCTATGTTGACAATTTTTTTTTGGAATTCATTTGTAAGCGGTTAATTTAATTTGTTATCAATAATCAACGTCTGTAACATTAATAATATACCGTAAAGTATTTTAGAGTAAGAAAGTATTATTAAAAATGGAATCTATTCATTCATTATTCAGTCATATGCATATGAAATTTGGTTAACTTCTAATGTTTTGTTGTTGCAAAAAAAATAGTTGAAGGTTTGCTTTTGTGATATAAATGTATTTAAATGTATTTTTTCACAGTTAGCATATGTAGGCTTACTCTGCTCAGTTAAATTTTTTTTTTTAAAGGAAGAAGTTAATTTTTTGGTTACTTTACATATTAATGAGAAAATTTGCGAGATGTTTTATGTTTGTATTTTTATATGCGACATTAGAAAACAGCTGCAAAAGAATTTTCTTTTGACTAGTATACAAACATTACTAAAACTGCAGTCTTGTTTTTACTGAATCATATCGATAAGACAGATATCAAAAGTGACCAAATATACCATTACGGAACTTTGTTTTTTATTGTATGAATAATAGATGAGAGTTTCTCACCACAAATATGCTTTTTATTCTTTTTCTCAAAATTGCATTTACACTTTTTTATTTCTACAGGGGAAAACATCAACTTTGTTCTGCATATTTGTGTGTAGCATTGCATCAAGAATATTTTTTAAATTTTGAAAAAATTTGCAATGTAAGAGCAAAATTATTTGTTCATAACGTATAAGTCAATTTTTTAAACTCTTGTCTTAAAAAAATGGTTTTTATGAGCTATTTTCGTTGGTTCTTTGATACTTGAGTTTTTTTTAATTTTATGAATAATATTTGGTAGAAGCTTTGACGGTAAGCATAAATAAAATTAGCTTGACGCGTAAAAATTATTGATTATACAAAGATACTGTTTCAGTTCCAAAATTTAAAATGTTTTTGCGAGAACGTTTTGTGATATAAAGTTGATATGGTTTGTTCTTGATAGATTTATTTTATTGGGATTGCAGTCTATATAAATCGTAATTCAGTACGAGGATCTAATGTACGAATATGAGCGCGAAGCATCAGAATGGTTACAATGGGCAGAAGGTGCTATAAGTGTAATGGAGGATCGTCAGCTGCCAACAAATCTGGTAGAGTTACGACGACTTGAAAATAGCTTAGAACGATTCAAAGCTGAAGATCTACCTCCAAAAGCACGTGAAAAGCAACGTCTAGCGGATCATTTTATGGAATTACATCGTCTCTTCGAACATACTGGACATTTGCGTATCGCCCCGGAGTTGAATAGTCAAAGTTTGGATCGCGTATGGCAACGTTTGCTTCGCTCGTTAGATCAACGATCTGCTGTAATTGAGGAACAAGCTGCAGTTCAGGTATTTTAAATGAAAATCCATATTTCTTGTGTCTCGCATCATCCATATTTCCTGTGCCTCGCATCATCCATATTTCTTCTGCCTCGCATCATTAACAAATACTTTATAAATTATCGTCGCATAACTATGAAGAACTTTTATTCAGAGTTTGAAAATGCATTTTCTTATTAGTGTAGTGGTCAAGTGTAATGCAAGCTTTATAATAAGTAGCAAATCTTAGCCATTTATAAATTTACTCTTTTGCCAGCAGATGAAGTCAGCATTTAGGTGTTGTAATAATACAAAATTCATGGAAAATGTATTTTTTTTTTTCAAGCTTAGTATCAAAGTTAAAAATGTGTTATGTAAAATTACATTCGAACCTTATAACTTGTCATAAGTGTATCGTTGTTGTAATTGAGATAAGATTCGTTACTCTTTTATATCAATTTTTCGTTGATATTTTCATAAGGAATAATAAGTTTGAAAGAATTGCTGTAAGCTTTCCAATTATTATCGTTCTTCTTGAGAATGCATTTACACTTGCTGTTTTTCGAGCTTTACAAGTTTTTGCTTGTGAGAATAATTTATGTTTTTGCCTTAGTGCTTCTTTCCTTTTCTTCTATCCAGCAAATTTCCCGATGGCTGTCGTTTGTGAAAAGTAATTGTAAAGATGTTCTTGACCAACGAATAATTTATTGACTTCTGGGTATGAAAGGGAGCAGATTGTATCGAAATTTTTTAGATTATCTTTCGTGAGCTACTTTTTCAAGAATTTAATGTCCTGTTTAAATTTGTAAGATAATGATAGGTTACTGTTTGCTATCACTCATCGATAGTTTACGTCATAATTAATGTTGGTGAGGTTTTTTTTTGACTTGTTTTAAATATTGCTTGAAATAATGTAGAAGTATTTATTACAAACTTTTCAGGGCTCTACTACTGATATTATCAGTCGCTTGGCACGCGGTATTGGGATCACCAATGAAAAATTGGATCATATCTTGAATCGAATTGAAGACGCAGAATCAAGAAGTTAGTTGTTTGTTATCGGTTCGGTTAGTGCATACTCTCAGAAAAATTTTGCAGGTACAAAAGTTACGATACAATGATTTTTTTTATGACTTGATTTAGTTTTCATTGAAGCAATAGTCTTCAGTATATATTTAAATGCTTACCTATTGTCAGTCAAAATTTTTATGATGTAATTTATTTCTGCAGTTGAAACATCACGTCCAGCAGACTTGCAACGCCTTATTGATGCTGTAATCGATGATTTAGTGGCGTTAGAAGCACCAATTCTCAGCTTTTTCGAAGATGTTGAACAACTAAAACGTATGCGACATCTGGAGGCAAACGATTACCATCAACAGTATGTATCTTAATTAAGTTCCCTGATAACTGCTTATGCATTTCTTAGTCGAAATTTTCATGAAGATCTGTACATTATGTGAAAAATGTAGAACACATTTGATTTATTTCGTTTTAGTCTGATCAATTCAAAATTAGTTTATAATTCTTGTACTTTCTAACTTGTTATTCATTTAGAACTGAACTCACGGCTGTCATTATTGGTATCTTTGTAGCAAACGTTAGTACTGTTAATTATGAAATTACTTGGGTTTGATGAACTTGTAGGGTGTACGGACTGGAACAACGTCGTCAAGCTTATCTTTCGAGATTACGTACCCAATTTGTAACTCATCTTGGTATTCGAACAGAGCAATTATTGCGAGAAAGTGAGCAACGACGGGAATCGGTTCGACGCACAACATTCGGACGCGTAGAAGATTGCATACAATGGATTCGATCACGTTTGGTAATGTTTTGCAATTATTATAGTTATGTTTCAGTTACTAGATTCCTGTATTTGTTTCAGTTACTGATTCTGAAATATCATAAAGGGAAGATAAATTTCAATTTTTAACGCACTACAAAATGGTCAATTCTCCTAATGATTCATATTTTGATTTATTCATTTATTTCAGTTTTTTGACTTTGATATATTATTTTATAGGAAAAGTTATCAGAAATGGAATTCGTGGAAGATTTGGAGCAGTTGGAGAATATGTTTGAAGAACACAAAGTCGACAACCATGAAATACAAGACTTTCGGCAAAATGTTGATGAATGTATCGCTAGACAGGTTCTTTAATTTTTTTCTCTATTATCAAGCTGCTGCAGATTATCCTATTTTAAAGTTAAATTTATGAGTATGCTGATCTGATATTAGTAAATCAGTAAAGCTAGTTTTAAAGTAATTGATTTTTTCTGCTGCAGTAAGTATTATAGAAGTTTGTTGATCACTGAAAATTTTTGAAAATAGGAATTACACAAAATATCTTGTTTACTATAGGCTCATAATGAAACTGACGGAAATGTTTTGATTCTCTCCAAAATGACTTTGTAATCAACTACGAAAATTTAAAATAGTATACACGCTAAAATCTAGTAAAGAAGGTGATAGGAAGTAAAATTGATAGAGTGTCAATCTTTTAAAATATTTAGCAATATTATAAATTTTTGTCTTTTCACATCAGCAACCATTGTTTAAATGGATAAAGAAATATTGTGCATGTATCATTCACACAATTGATAGTGTGATGATATTCTTATCGAAATAACTGCGGATAAACATTTAGGTCTCTTATCTGAGATTACTGAGGTAGGAAAGATATAAATTGTGATGACCTTGAGGTTGCAGAAATATCGTTTTACACTTTGTCCTAAAGGGAGGAAAAATTAATTGATCGTACCTTTCGGAGAAGGTCATCATAGATTATTTCATTCTCTCACTTTTAAGGGATTTTTCCCCGACTAAAAGTCTGTAACATAACAAAATACGCGATGTTACAGATTGAAACTATTCAAATTTTTACATATGTTGATGAAGTGATCATTGAATTACTAAAAAACCAATAGTTTGTCTTGCAGAAAAATATGAATGATAAATATCAGGACTTTATTTCATGTTTATTCTTCAGTTAAAAAAAAATTGTAATCTGAAAATATCATCGGGACAAGGGATAACAAGTAGTTTACCTATTTTGACATACCTGAAATAAAGAGAAGTGTTGAACTGTTTAAAGTAAATATTGCAAAAAGTTGAAAGCCACAGTAAATGCAGTCAAAAAAAATTATGAGCGCACTGCTATGTTCTTATTTGCTTAAAAAGCCAAAAATTGTAAAATGGTGCTTCAGGCAGAAATAGTAGCAGAAGATACTCATGAATATTGCGAATTACTCAGCATATTAGAAAGCGAATATCAGCAGTTGAGAGATTTATCAGCTGGGCGGATGCTTGATTTGGATACTTTGATTGCATTCATTCGAGGTGCACAACATGAAATTGTGTGGATTAATGGACGAGAAGATATAGAAGTAACCAGAAATTGGTCTGATATCAGCCAACTCGATTTACCAATGCTACAGAATTATTATAAACAGGTGAAATGCATCTTGATTTGTTCACTTATTTTCAGCTATAAAAATATCAAGATTTTTGTGTAAGGAAGTTTAACTGCATTGGAATTGCTCTATAAAAATTTCCTAAGATTTTATTACACGACCTGCAGTGTGATTTAAATTTACAGTTATATAACTCATGATTTCTTGAAGCTGTTGCATGAAATCGAACTTCGCGAACCACGTTTCAATGACGTTCACAATAAAGGTGCAGCATTATTGAATCAGGGACATCCAGCAATTCATGTTATCGAATTTTACTTGAATGCAATGCAGCGGAAATGGGATTGGTTGTTAGCGCTATCAAAATGTCTTGAGCAGCACTTACGTGATGCACTCAATCTTCATTCGGTACAGTTAAGAGCAATTTGTACAAAAAGATTAAAAAATGAAAATTTTCACTATGCATTTTCGGTACCGATGAAAATATGAATTACTTTGCATCCGTGGGAATAAGGATAACTTTGTAAAGACATTCATACTCATGCTCCTTTTTTTACTTGAAATGAATTATAAGAAATGCTATATTCTAGAATGAAGTAGAATATTCTATTATTTTAAATTGTTCAAGATGGCAAAATTATGATGAACTAAAGAATCTTGCACCAACTGTTTAGATTTATATTATAAAATGTTCCAAAATTATGGAACATCGTGGAGCAAAATCAGTGATTGAATTATTAAGACATTTAAATAATTATTTTTAAAAAGTACTGCGTAATAGTTTTATATATATATATTTTATATATATATATATATATTTTATATATATATATTTTTTTTTTATATATATTTTTAAAAAAATTTATGTATATA